ATAGCTTTTTCATCAAATTATATATGTATTTAGTTTTATTCATAAAATCATGCTTACTATCTATTTTATGAAAGAACTATCAATATCCGATCAACTTAATTTTTAGTATGTTGTACTGTACTTGATGTATCCTAAAACGTGAACGATTCAAATTATTAAAAGAGAACCCGAAATGGGCTCAAATAACATCACAACAATGAATGTTGTGCAGGGTGCATGGCCAACTCGATTCCCCAAGACCTCTGGACCCTAGTATGCCCTGTAGGCAAAATTGTTTGGTACTTATTGGACAAGCTAAGTTGGTGACTCAACTTCAATTTTGTTTGTTAAAATAGTAGAACTTAATGCATTTTTGTCTCTGCTTAGGAAACAACTAGATAAGATGCTTCCACGAATGGTTTTTGAACGAGCATTAAAAGAAATTTCATTAATAAAAGGAAGAGATACACTGAAATGCTTAAGGGAATTGCATCATTGTCAATACAACGCATCCCAACTAAGTTGGTACTCGAAACATAAATAATCATGTGCAACCCCAAAGCCACCAACAAGAGTTAGAGAGATTCCAACTCACTTACAAAACAAGTACAAACAAAAAAAGTTCAGAACTAGCTTCCACCCCCTAAACAAACTCTAATCTACTTAATGTTAAACAAAAAATCATGAATAGAGAACTGAAGATCCTTTGAAGAAGCTTTCAGGCAAATTGCAATTCTGATTATAAATCTAGTTGTACATCATTGAAAATACACTCGTTTTTGTGCTTCCAAATTGACCACAAGGTTATTATAAAGGGATGGCACTCCAGATCATCTTTTCGACTTTCTTCAATCAGAACCCTGCCCACCAAAACAACACACCTTCAATTGATCCAAGCATTGCCCACTATGTACCCCACAATTTCTAAGAATGGTGTGGATCAATACTCTAAAATTACCAAATAAATTTTCCTATGATAGGGATAAGACTTCATTTGGTTTGTGTAGTGATCCTGGTTTAGACCCAATCCATTGGCTATTCTGGATTCGAGTTTCAATGTCTTATGTGGTTGTTCATGTCTTATTCATCTTGTACTTTATTGAGTTTGATTATTGGAGTGTCGTGGTAGAGTTTGGAACTGGTTGGTAGCTTATTTTCCTAAATAGTTGTTGCCCAGATTTTGACCTCTTTGCTCGAGCGGCGCTTCTTGCGCTTGAGCGGCCTTTGAGAACTTTCAGTACTTTCTAGTCCTACAGAGATACTGGGAGGATAGCATTCTTCACTCGAGCGGTACTTTCTTCACTTGAGTAGTCCCACTTATTGTGTTTTGTCGCTCGAGCGGTGTTTCTTGCGCCCGAGCAGTCTGTGTGTATATCAGATCGTAAAAATCACTTTTTGAGTCACCTTTTCATCTCTCTCTCTCTCTCTCCAAGCATTTTAAAACCCTAAGTTGAGACTTTGTCTCTCTAAAACTCACCTTTTACACTCAAACACCCCTAGATCTATTAATCTTTACCCCCTAGTCCGTGGCCATTTTTTTTTTTTTTCAAAAACCCAAACAGTATTATCAGTTGGATCAAATTGATGTAAAACCTAAAATAATCACAATGGAATTAATTGAAATCTCACAAACTAAAATGACACAAAAAGGCAAAATGAATGGACTACTAATATAATTTTCTCTATTTATTATTATTATTATTATTATTATTATTATTATTATTATTATTATTATTATTATTATTATTATTATTATTATTATTATTATTATTATTATTATTATTATTATTATTATTATTATTATTATTATTATTATTATTATTATTATTATTATTATTATTATTATTATTATTATTATTATTATTATTATTATTATTATTATTATTATTATTATTATTATTATTATTATTATTATTATTATTATTATTATTATTATTATTATTATTATTATTATTATTATTATTATTATTATTATTATTATTATTATTATTATTATTATTACAAGAAAACTTAATAAT